ACTTGATCTATGGTTTTTATTACGAAGAAAATTAGTTCAGTTGAACAATACCTATGAGCTGTAGTGTGTATTAAAATCGGATTAAAGTAATATTTGTCTATCACTAGATTGTAATACATATATGTAACTATATATTGGTGTCAAATGAATTTATATATTTCTACTGTAAAAAATGTAATTAAAAATCAACCCCTGGTTCAAATTGATCTCAACATGATCTAAACAATGTACAGAGTGCTCCATTTTAATTCTTCCATGTGTTCACCTTAACATTACTTGACAGAAACTTGAGTTTCTTTGTGAACTTAGAAGAATTAGTTTACTGAATGATGTGTTAAAAAAATTTTGAACAATTGGCGACTTCTCAGAATGTCGAAAAAAATAGTAAATGTCGGTTGTACAACTTTTTTGTCTAAGACTGTAATGAATATTTAATACATATATTTCAAAGATTTATGTCAGTTACATAGATGCTGCATCTTTTATTGAAATCGGTTAATACAGAAACGAGTAACAGGGATCGTAAGATGTATGAATCTTGAGATATACTACAGTTGTAGGTCAACACTTGCGAAAAACTGCGTTTTTCAACATTTTTAATCGTTTGTATCTCATGACACTAACCGATTTCGATGAAATTTTAAGCATACATATAACTACCATAAATCTAAGCAATGTAATTGTTAAATTTTCATTACAATCTCAGATAAAAACGTCGCAAAAAACGACCTTTACTGTTTGCTTCGCGATTCCGACCAATTGCAACTTTTTCAACATTTGGTTAACACATCATTTAGTATACTAATCCTTCTAGTTCACAAAGAAACTCAAGTCACTTGGTTCAATTTTGAACGAGTTGTTCTGTTTTGAAGGGTGCACGAATACTTTGTTTATCCACTGTATATATCATACTAAATTAAAAATTTTATAGTAAGATCGCAACAGGTGATACGTCCAATTTTTGTCAAAATTTAGATATGTCTTCTTCCACGTGGGAAACTATTTAACCCTTTCAGACATGAATTTTCTTTTAAGAATAAAAAAAAAATTTGATTACACATTTTAACTCAGTAGACTATTTAAATGATGTTTTGTTTAAAAAACATTGTTCATATGTCTCATAGTTTTGTAGATTTTATATGTTCACACGTGTATACATTAGGACTCAAGTAAGTTCCGAACGTGAAAAAATTCAAATTTAGAAGAAAAATATGGATTTGTAACACACTGTACCTAAGGCTTTGTTGTGAAATTGTAGGAAACTTCATGTACACAAATGTGACCACCAGGTCTGAAAGGGTTAAGAAACAGCTTGAATGAAAAGACTGAACTTGTATTAACAATCACGTTTTAAAGCTACACAAAAAAAACTGATATTTCCAAAAGCTTTGCAATTTTTCACAGCCCAACAAACTTTAAAATTGTACAGTAAAATTAAGAAAATCGAATGCATCGTCACGTTTTGTTATTTGACCACAGAATTAATCCTCGAAACAACTCGATACCTTCGTACCCAACGTTCTACAACTTATTGTAACCATTTAAACGCACGCTTCCTTTCGAGCGTGCGTACAAAAGGGTTAGGAACAAAGCAGATGATCAGTATCTGCGGCCAGAAGAAGGTGGCAGGGACCGTCCGCCGAACGACGTTGTCTGAAGACGTCACTCTTTCGATCCCCCTTTGATATCCCTCGTTTTCGCTTTACCGCGATGTCCGCTTCCATTCATTCCCTCGGCCTCAGGGCCCGCCCTACGGGCCCCCTGGACACCTCTGTTACTCGAGATTTCACTCTCTTCGGCGGTATTCGAAACTGGAGTTCCGGCCGTGAAATGAGGCACGGTAATTGAGCGGACTGCGGCTTTTTGTCCCACCGCGATATTTCACATGTATGTACATACAGGGTGTATCTGTTTCAACTGGATTCGGTGGAATATCTCGTAAGGAGCTGAAGGTATTAAAAGAATCTGCTTGGGAAAGTTGTTTGTTACAAATGGGGACGTGATGTGGTGTAAATAATCTTTTTTTAGGTAGAGTAGTAAGGGAGATTTTAAAGTCGAGTTAATTTTTTTTTAAATAGAATGCTATGCTTTTGTTCTTCTTAATGCGATAGCGTTCGTTGACAGGAGTTTAACGATGTGTCATATTAATAAGGGAACACTGCGAACGCTGACTTGCGGATTGAAGTGAAACTTTGTGGGTTTATAGAGTGATTCGTCAATAAAAATTGAGTAACTCAGTTTTTTCAATTTACACCTCGTAAAATCTTCTAATTTATTACAAGAAAATGTTTTCCATTAAGCTCTGATGTTTGTGTACCAGAATTAAAAACTGAAATTGTGTACATACATCAACACTTTAATTAGAATCCTACAGAATTATAGTTTCTACTTTCTGCAATTTCAAACAACAGCAGATTCAAAAACGAAATTTAAACTAATCATAAGTGAAACCTGTTCAAAATATATTGTATCATTGCAAAATTGTTGATAGATTTGTAATGCAGACCATTAGTTTTTTTCTAACAAAACAGAATAAGATCAGAAAACATTATTGACAATCACAAAAATCTTATTTTTCTACAATTTTATCTTTACTACGGCCTTCAGTTCTTTCTTCGATCAATTATGGTCTTTGAGATTTTATCAACGTAATCGTCTTCTTGTGTCTTAAAAATCTTCTGTAAATTTGAAAAAAGTTTAGGAAAGTTTTTACTGGACATTCTATTGAATGTGTAACTAAACAAAAATGGCTTCATTCCATAAAAAAAACGTTTGCACTGATTTTATACTACTTAACCAGTGAATAGCTAACCATCCGTTAGTGCCTCTAACTACATAATTGCATTGAATATAATATTTCTCCATCAATAAACATAAGATCATAATCTCATAAATATAAAGACACTAGAACAAAAGTTATTCAAAATTAATAAATATGAATAATAGTATTAATAGTCATTTAAATAACGTTAATCGCTCATTAAAAATATTCTCCACTAAGAAATTAAAAAAAAGACAACCCATAGTTAATATTCTGACAATTAAACTGCAGTTCTCATTCATTTATAATGCTTCCGATCGCCAAAAATTCAGTATAGTAAAAAAATGAAAAAAGGCAAGTTTCTGTTTCCTCTAAATTAACACATAAGATTCTATATTTGCATAAAAATTCAATCTACTAAATAAACTTGATAACTTTAGCTGTGACTCCTGTTTTCTCTTAATTAACACAGACAATTTCACATTTGCATAAACATTAGCAGTCTGATAATACCATTAGTGGTTACGTGTGCATCAGAGACGATACCACAGGCACGAAGGTGCTAAGAATATTATGAATTGATCTTTTTAACATTTTCAATACAATCGTGTAGTTCCGTGAATAATAAGGATAGCGTCAAGTCTACGGATTTCCTAACCCCCCCCCCCCCCCCCCACACACACACAGGCTGACAAATCACCTGCGTGAGAATCCGAAACACAAGCAATGCCCACTCGCGAGCATACGGGTCGTGCTCGTCGAATTTGGGTACATCTGTACGTGGGTCGTTAGCTACGTGTACACGAGTCAAGAACAAGATGCCATATATGCGTCCAGTTAGCGAGCATGGTACGTGGGCCAAAGGAGAACGCGATACAACACCGCCTTAACCAGCTTCGAGCATTTCAAGATTACGGGACCGGCAAGGACTCTTACGATCGCGGACGACTGTGAACGCAGTGGTTAGGTAATCGAAACGAATATCCCTGCCTCCATTCCCTGTCATGTGATTTTCCGCAATTTTACGCGATTCCCCGACGGTTTCTATCGAGCAGTCATTTTGCAACGGTTGAAATGGAACAGTTTTGGAGCTTGCTGCCAATGGAAAAGTTTTTATGGGATATATTTCTATAGATTTTAAGGCGAAATGCATAATTATTTATTCAGGAGCTATTTTTTATAATCATTTTGAAATCAGGAGTGTATTCGTTTATAACTTTCCGATTTGATAATTGTATATTTCAATTAAAACTTGTAGAAACATATTCTGTATAAATGTTTCATTGAAAGCGAGATGAAAAATGGAACTTTTTGTATCACTGTCCTTTGAACACAAGGTTTATTCACCCTCTCTGAGAATAGTATTAATTATGGATAGGTAGTTTGACTTATTCTTTCATGCTTCAAAAGTACCACAAAATTTTATGCAAATTTTACACACTATACAGTCCTATTAGTTAAGAAGGTAGTATTAGGACCCCTGTCGAATACGAAATTAATGTAGTCAGTCCTTATGAAATTGAAGGTTTAGGGGAAAAACGGAATGTCCTGATTTGGTGATTGTACGGTGTATAACCCATTTTGTTGGTGGCAACTGGGACTCCAAAACTGTCGAATCACAAAGAGTTACGGAGTAAAAATGTCCACATACGATAACAATAAATATTTGGTGTACTGGTTAAAATCAGTGGTGGACTAAAGTATTAAAACTGATTTGTTCGATAAAGTTATTTTGTGACATTTCTTCTTTCTTCCCCTGTCTGAAATATTATTTAGGCGCTATAAAAGCTCCGTGGACAACATTTATGCTAATATACATGACTAGAAGTAAAATGTGTAACTTTTATGAACTATCACATTTTCTTCATGCAGACTAGGTGTTCTAATACTTATGAATGGCAGTGTAGTTCGCAAAGCGTAATACTTGATTTCATTAGTTTTTTGTCTCAATTCCTCAAAAATTTGAGAACAGCATAAAAAAACAGTAACTAATCTCTGAGTTTCTACTTCTTCATCATTATTTTAAATATATAGTTGAATTGAGGTATGCAGTAGGCCAAACTTCTTTTTTCTATTCGAGTTATGTCTCACAACGACCAGGTAAATGTTACATCTATTTATGATTCTGTTGCGCTGTAGGATTTTATTACCTGTAGATAGCTTTGATTTTTTGTCAACAAATCACTGCAGGTTACTGTAAAATTTAAGCTAGTTGTAACATTTTGTTTGAAAAACATACCTGCAACAACTCAAGGCGAGAGGAGGCCTGTGGTGCTGCCATGGTTGATTAAATGCCGATCGTTCTGCGACCACTCGACGGGTGATGCTCCGTATTTCTGAAACAGATCGAAAAAACGAATAATGAATTTCCGTCCTATTATAGTGAAACGTGAATTGTAAATAAGTAGTATTTTACGGAATGCCTAGACCAGCTTTAGATACGATCGAACGGTTTATAAATGTTTCGCTGGGCTGAAATGTTTTAGTCGTGACTTTTTTTAATACAGACTGTCAGTCATGTTCCCGGAGATACCGGTGCCTGAACGTTGATTATTACTTTGGTTACAGTCTGGTGCGTTTGGGTGCATGCAAATCCGGACGGAGAACACTCACGCAATCAAACGTACATTTGGTTGAACCTTATCGCAAAAGACTGATATTTTAAAACATAATTAGTTCATCATAAAATTCTTTTGTTTATGGGTCTTTGTTAAATTTGTCTTTTTATCGAGATAGTATTCCATTTCTTTCTATGAAATTGTTTATCATCAGTACTTCATGGTATGTATGTACATATAACGAGAAAAATTAGAATTGAGTCATTTCTTTCTCTGAATTATAGATAATTCTATCAACGTATTGTAATAATATTTAAATCTACATTATGATACAAATTATTTGTGTACATGATTTATACGCATTTTATACTGTAGCTGCAATATTTCATAGTATCATCTTTAATCAGTGTTTTACGAATTTTCTATAGTCTCGTCAGAATTTTTGTCTTCGATTTGAAAAGCATAAAAGCAAAACTAGATCAAAGAAGTAATTTAATAACATACATATTTATTTCAATGTATTTAAAGATTGCATGACCATAAGATTCTTTATGTTAATGTCGTATTTTGAATATCTTGTATTCGTCTCTGGTTGTGTTTCAAGCCATTCCAACTCGGTCTAGCAATTATTTATTCCTCATATAAGAAAATATTTATGTAGATTCTATGAAACAATGGTGCACAGGAAAGCACAAGTTTAGATAAAAGTTACATAGACGACTTTCCCACCATATAATAAATAATTCAGTTTGGGTCAGAATCGATCCCAGATCAAATTGCCTCGGTTGGTCCAACGTTAACATAACAGGAAGTCTTATTGAAAAATCTATTACTACATTTACAGTAACGTAATATCGAATAAAAAGTCGACAAAGTCCGTTCAAAATTCTGTTCACAGGATTTGAACAGAAATTTAATCCATGCATTTAATTATTATCCATTAAATGATCCACTATTCTTTTAATAAAATAACTGGAATAATCCGTTGTTCTTTTAGTAATACAATCTTAAAGGAGGTAATTCTGCATGCAAAAATAAGTCGAAAATCTAAAATAAAATCTTTAGAAAATCAACTGGACACGCGTGCAAGTGAATAGGACCTGACTAACGTGTCTGTTCATTACATTCCGTTTCTACTTATTGTCAACATAAATACATACATTAGATGTTATTAATTAAGTAACTGTAATTAAATACCACCCTTTAATATTTATTGAAGTACTTATAAATAATTTAAAAAAATTGCCATAATAATTTTATTATATTATGTTTGAAGTTTTTTCTTAGCATGAAAATGACATCCCCAAAAAAAGGTATCTCCATGGCGCAGGTGTTTTTTCAGCTCGGTTGCATCTGAAACAAGAAATACAAGCAGATTCTCAATTAGTATGAGTGCTGCTATTGCAGGAAGCACAGTCATGTTTATATCTTCAATTTATCATACTTTTTACATAAAATCGCCGAAAAAGGTGCTTTTCTTTAATTTCTGGTATTATTTTTTTATGATAAATTATGTATTGTAGTTCCTGCGATACCGACGTTCATACTAATTAAGAATCTCCTCGAATTTGTTATTTCAGGCGAGTCTGAGCAGAGAAATCACCTCCACCACGAAGATACCTTTTCTTTGAGATGTCACTTTCATCCTAAAAAAAAGCATAAAATGAAATATAATAAAATTATTTTTGTAATTTTTTCATATTACTTCTAAGTAGTTCAATAAATACCTAAAAGATGCATTTGATTACATATTTTATTTACCGAGGAAAATATCCCTAAAGGTAGCTTAACTTTTCAGCTACGAAAGTAGAATGACCCCTCGAATCTGGGCAAGGAGTAACGCATCGATAATTGGTAAATTTAATATTATAATTTTACGTACATCCATCCAATTCTCTGATTACATGTAGCCTAAGCAACGGAAACTGCAGTATTTACCGGATAATCCGACCACCACCGGGGTCAAGTACTCGAATGACCGTAGACGAAGAAAAGCACGAAAACGATCGGGGACGAGGAAACGTAATTGCGGCGAAGTTGAATGCGCCCACTCGCAGCCGATCCACCCACCGTTGAAAACATTCGATCTTTATCCGGGATAAACGCTCGAAAGAGAAACAACGAACAGTTCGATCTCCGCGAACTTTCCGCCCACGCGTGATCCTTTCTACCGCCACTGCATCGGTCAATTACAATATTCGGCGGCTGACACACACGCGCGCGCGCGCGCGACCACGATAAAAACACCGTTAAATTGTATAATTGGCGTATCGCCTACTCAAACAACTTTTTTCTACCGGCCGCTAAATAATTAATACTTTGCGAACCTGGGCGAAGGTGATATACGAAGCGAAAAATAATATTTTAAGTGGGAAGTTCTTTGGATTGCTCTGTTGTTTTGTTTTTTAGAGTCATAAGTTTTTCGACAGTTTATACTGAATGTGTATAAATGAATAGAACAATTTTTTACAGTGCTCGCTATAGCGAACAATCGAGTAAGGAAAATATTGTTCATTGGAGTACAGTGGAGATAATGAATGATTTTATTTAAGTCTTTGAAACATAGCGGTATGAAAAATGTCCCACTTTTTTAGTGCTTGAACGTGTATGGTGGGATGTTATTTATACTTTCTTTAAATCGTGAAATTACTAAAAATAAAAAAGAATTAAAATAACATGATGTCATATTTTATGAAAACAAAATTTCTGTGCAGCAAAGCATTTTTTTGTAAAATCCTGTACTGGAAACAGTTAAGGCAACTAATCAATTAATAAAAGAAGATGAGGGAAAGCATATAAGAACGTATGAATGATCTACAGAATTTTGAAAATGTAATAAAAATTATTGAAACATTATATCATATTTTTTTTTGTTTATGTAAAATAATAGATTTTCTAAGTATTCGTACATTAAAGTAATTCAATAAATTTAATATCACAGCAGTTCCAAATTTTCAAATGTGCGTCAAGAGAATCCGATTGAAACGACCTTGAGAAATAATTTTACACCGAATAAAATCCCTAAGATACTAACATTTATCAAAGAAACGAAGCTAATGGTCAAAGTAATGTAAATTACAATAGCTTCTTCGTTCTAGACTATCGCTAATAACCAATTCAAGCAATTAACGCGACATTAAATTCCGTTAAAAAAACACTAAAGTACCTTAAGTTAAGGTAATTTTGTTCCAAAGTCAGAAAATGATCAATTTATAATTTGGGACAAAGTTACCCTGAGTGAATCAAAGTTATCCGAACTTACGGTACACGTTTTAACTTAAAATAGAAAAGGTGATCCTTATTGTTAATTTTCATCCACTAAAAATATACTCAAACACACCCATCAATAAAGTCGATCATTTCACCTCTATCAACGTGACAGCTAATTTAAAACAGTTAATTTATTGGATCGATTTTAACCACGAGCGTTCGATTGAAACGGAAAATCGAACCAGTCGAATTCGGACGGACACGCTGTGTACTCGTTCTTGACGATGCTCCCTGCAGGAAATTATTAACACGGCATCGTTTGTCGCGGCAATAGTGTTTTTAGGCCATCGGCTATCCATGAGTCACGTCTCCTGACGCAATGATGTCCGTCTTTTATGGTTAAGAACCGTGCGCGACACGACTTCTTCACCACTCGTTTTCAATATTCTCCGAATGCTGGAAACTCGTTCGTGTCATCAGCGGTGGAATTAGAGCTCCTCGAGTCATTTAGGGAGATACCGCCGAGGCGTGTTCGAGCAATCGATTTCTAATGAACTGCGATTACTTCTGTACTCTTTCAATCACACACGTCAACAGCTACTTCCGAGTTTATTTAGGATCGTTCTGGCAAGGTTTACACGAAAACGAAAGTGAAATTGGCTCAATACCAAAAGCAAACTATAGTAATGTCTCGATGAGTGTGACGTACTCGGGTCCCCTTCAGAGATATATCATTCAACTCATAAATTTGTTTTTTATCTGAAACCGAGCTTCTACTTAGTTTCTGTTTACTCTATTTTGATTGGTTCCAGAGGGGGATTCCGCCAGTGGTGGGAATAACGCCGTTGCCCGTGTTGCATTCATCGAGGGATCATGGTACCTATTTGTTTAGTTACAGTAATGTTTCGATGAGTGCGACGTACTCGGGTCCAGTTTGGAGCATTCGTGGCAAGGCGGAGAGGTTTTCAGCCCCTCATAAATTTGTTTTTTTTTTAGTGATGGAAATAACGCTGTTGCTAGTGCCGCATTCATCGAGGAATCACGGTATTTAAAGCTACTAGGTGGTGTAACGGGTTACAAATAAAAATCTAATAATCCGCACATGTCGTTGCAACCTTAAAAAGTCTACTTTATTAAATTGTTAATTTATTTTAGCTTCCATTTATTCTTTTCTGCTGTGGGATGATTGAAGTAAGTCGCACAAACAACTTTATTTTACGCGAATTCAGTTTCAGACACAAATATGTCAAAATCAATGTTGAATGGAATTTTATTTCCTGCATTGAGGATCTTAATGTGTTAATAATAACATGTAAATAGTATTGTACTTTCTGAAAATTTAGGTTATGAAAGGCTAGAAATGCGTATAGAGTCGTTGTCAAATTAAAATACATAACTGCGATTTTGAATCAATCTCACCTCCTTTAGATTATTAGTTACGCATTGAAAGCAAAGTTAGGTGAATTCGTTATCTAGATGAAGAGTTCTGAATAACGAATGAATGATAAGAAACCAATTACCTAGTTTTCCTTAAACAAGCTTAGGAATTGCAATTCTGAAAATGAAAT